CCCTTGTCCTGGTCTATTATGTTCTCTTAATATATTATTTAAATCTTAATTTTTGGAAGCCTTCCTTAAGTAAATGGATAGATGGCTTTTGTGTTTCCATTTTTGTGACATAAATAGTATGCTAATGTTGAAATAATTACTTAAGCTTATTAATATTTGAATTTATATCTGTGTGCTATGGCTGTGCACTGTACTAATTTACACCACTGTATGTCTCTGTGTAAAAAGCAAGTGCCGCCTGCTGTGTTGACTTTCTCCTCAGACTACTCACATCGATCTTCTTGTTAGCCAGGGCTAAGGGTGATTAGAAAGTAACTTTTCAGCTTCAAAATGTCACTTAACAGGGTAATTGGAAGTGATCTTTGGATTTACATGCCTTGAAGCTTCTGTAGGTATAAAGTAGAGCTCATTTAGGCTGCAGATAATATGCATTCCCAGCTGTGCTTCATGCGTGAGTCCTTATCATCTGATGGAGGGTAGGGCACTGAAGTTAAAAGTTAATTTTGCTACTTTGTGCAACATGGTGTGCCAGATTGTAAAGATGATTATAATAAAGATGCAGAAGTCCCTTTTCCTTGACCCCCTTTTCTTTAATAGACTTTTGTTGAGGTTGGGGGCAGCCAGAGAAGATTTAGAGTACCGGGTAGTGCAGGTGCAGGATGGTAGAGATGGCCTTGGAAGCCAAAGACATGCAAAGTGATCTCCATAGTCTGTGGGGAAAATTGCCATCGTTCCGCGCCTTTAAACATTTTTGTTGAAACATTAAAAGCTCTCTTACTGTCCATTATAAATGTAATGAAATGAAAAAATAGGAAAACTAGGATCTATTTTGTATACTGTAATTCAAAATATTAGAAGCAAAGCATAATCGAGTGCTTTTTTGTGGGGCGGGGGGATGTGTAAGAGTATTTGGAACACTACCCACTTTCTTCTTGTCCTAAATGTAAGATAAGGAGCCAGCATTTTTCTTTGCCCCAGCAAAGTGTCTTACTCCTTCCTAAGTTTGGATGAGCTTCCGGTGTTTTATCCTTTGTCCTTTTGATATCGTGAAATGTCTCAGAGTTGCTTTAAAGTGAGGTTTTTTCCCCAGTGCCACATTGTTCTCCTTTTTGTCATAACTGCTTTCCTCATTTATTTGAAGACATTTGCTATCAC